TGATTTTTTTTTTTAAAAAAAATTCAAATCGCTACCTAGGTAGCGATTTTCAATTTTGTTTTAATTTTTTTAAAAAAAGAAAATCGCTATCTAGACAGCAATTTGATTTTTTTTTTAAAAAAAACACATTTTGCAAAATCGCTACAGTAGCAGCGATATTGTTTTTTTCGGTGGAGTAAATCGCTGTTGTTCCAGCGATTTTACCGTTTTGATTAATATAAAATTTTATATACCATTTTATAATTTTTGTTAATATTTTATATCGGCTCCGGACTCGAGAAAATGTCAAGAGAAAAGAAAAGAGGAGTGATTTTATAAGATTTTGATGTGTAAGATGTTTCTTGTTCTTTCTATTTCTTGATGAATCATGATGTCAACTTCAATAAAATTAAAAAAAAAGAAGAATACAGCTATATATGAATTTCAATATCCAAGAAAACGAACATGGAGATTTATATTAAGATAAAGGGGACCATATATTGATAAATGAAGAATTTTATCCACTACATATTGCATGTGTAATTTAATTCTTTGGAAAATATACTAAATATGATATCCTATTCACCTTTTTGAGTATTTATATATAGATAAGTTTTAATAATATAATTGTATTCCTTTTTGATATGATATTGTAAGAATGAATGCGTACATTAGTAATTATTGGATCAGGTCTTTCAATAAAATAATAGTGTGAAAAATAAATAATTTAAAGTAAATCAAGCACAAAAATTTTATGTGAAAATTTCCTTGCTCAAGGGAGGTAAAAACCACGACATGTACTCATAAGATTTCAACACAAACTTCATTTCACTCAAACAAAAGCAAAGTTTCAGATTACAAATTCTTGCAACCTAAGAATTAAAACTCTTTAATCCCTTTTCCGTTACTATAGCAACTCGACTATAAAGGAAACTAAGCAATCACCTTATTTTCCACTAAACCAGCTAGTTCTAGTTGATCTAGACTTCAAGAATTCAAAAAAGGTTAACTCTAGCCACCAACTCAGATTTTGAAGATAAAAGCTTAAACAAGCAATCACCTCTATTGCACCCACAAATCAATTAACTCTAGTTGACAACTCTACCCAAGAAAACATCAAAACAATAATGTAAAAAAGTTTTCCGAAAACATAGATGACTCGACTAACTAACTATAATTAAACCGACTCAACCTAAAGACTTACAAGCAAGCAATCTACTATCCTTTATAACTTAAGAGTAGATTTACAATATAAGAAGAAAAAACACAAAGCTCAAAATACAACAAAAACGCATACTCCATCAGGTTCCATGTTGAGTATGAGCAGTTGAGTAGTGTTCTTTTTAGAAAATGAATATTTCTTTGTAACTTCACGAATTTTCAGAATTCAAAACTTTGTTTGCCAGAACTTAGGTCTATCCTTTGAAAAGAGACTATTATCATATGTACACAAATCCTTGGGACCAAACCATTAGCTGATCTTGTTGCCGTGAAAAGATATGCACTAGTCATAATCAAATTGAGAATTGTAACTGCTTTTACACAATTATATTTTTACCTTTTTCATGTATGCAGTCTTTTCTCAACCAGATCTTTTTCTAGATTCGAAAGTTAGTACAAATCAGATTAACCTAACATATATGAAATGATCCTTAAGATCATAGAGTTACATATTACGAATTCATAAACCTAGTTCATTCTCATTTTGTATAGCATACACATAAATTAATTTTTTTTAAAAAAAATACATATAAACACATAATAACCAAATTTTATATATGATAAGCAAGATATCATAATTACATCATCATTTTAAGATAATTTTTTTTTTCAAATAAAGGATGAAAGTAGTGATGTGTCCATTTTGGGGGACCAATTGAGCTGTCAGTTTTAGCCGGTGTCAGCTCGCTGCTGTGCACCCATGTGGACTCAGTCACCCTAATACTTCCAAGACTCAACTTTTTGCATCAGTGGCCCCTCTTTAATTAATACAATAGATAATATTATATTATTTAATAAAAATAATATATTCAGCAGATTCTTTCGTATAAAAAAAAAAGAATGAAATAGAGTTTTTTTTTTTATAAATCATTTGTTTAAGAGAAGATGTTTTAAAATAATATGATTTAGAAGAAGGTAAAGTATTACTTTCTTTATTTTAAAATAAGTGAATCATTAAAGTATTGCATATTAAGGAAAAAAATATATTCGCACCAAATATTTATATCAAGGCAATATATATATGTTATGTGTTTAAAATTTATAATTTATTTTACTTAAGTATAATTAATTGACATGTGATTTATTTTATTAAATCATGTGATAACAAAAATTGCATTGTTTGGTGTAAACACCTGATACGAGTAAGGAAAAAATATATAGGCATTACTTTTAAGCTCTATTCATTTTAATTATTGTCGAATTACTCTTTAGAATGACTAAAGATTGATCATCGT